GACAAGAGGAAATGGATTTAAACTGAAGGAGATGTAGGTTAGATTTCAGGGGGAAGTTTTCCACTGAGGGGACGGTGAGGTGTTGGCACAGCTACCCAGAAAAGCAGTGGATGCAGCATTCCTGGAGGCATTCAAGGCCAGATTAATGGGGCCCTGGGCAGCCTGAGCTGGCAGGTGGCAACCAGAGCGCAGCAGAGGGCTCTGCCTTATGGTCCCTTCCAACCCACACCGTTCTATGGTTCTTTGATTCAAGTGCTGTAAGCAGTGCACGAGATAATTATGCTTGACTTAGAAGCATCATATGTAAGAGAGTGTAGCTCTATATTTCTTCAGTACGTTAAGTATCTGGGAAAGGAAGGGAAACAAAGGCAACCAGAAGAAAACACAAGGATCTGTCCAGTACAGAACTAGAGCTTAGCTAACTTCTAATTTTTGCCTTATTGAGCTATGTTACTGGTTAAAATGAACTTGGCCAATAACTCCAAAGAGTTATTCAAATCCTCTGGGAGCATCAGCTGAGATGAAAGCACACTCCTGGCATGCTTGTTTCTTGTTTCCTGTATTCTCCTTTCCCATACCCACAGCAATAACTGCAGGTCCTGACCTCTGAACTCTCTATGACCCAAAGTAGCAATGTGAGCACAAATAAAAAGAAAACAAAAACAAAAACAAAAGAAGTAAAACAATGCAAAACATGAGCAGAGATGAAAAGGAAAAGCTTTTAAAAAAGAAGAAACAATTAAAAATAAACAAACAAACATGGTATGCTGTTCTTCAGAGGTAGGAAACAAGGCCTTCCAACAGGGGCTGGATTGAATACTAGGAAAAGCCAACAGCAAACATTGGTCCCCAGTTTCCCCAAGTTCCCCAAGATGTTCTAAGTATGGAGAGAAAAGACATTCCTTCCCTAAGGGTTTAAAGAGAAAGTGAGGTCGGACACACAGAGTGACTCCTGCTTCTCTGCACTGGGTGAAGCAATGACACACCCCACACACACACACCTCCACCAGTTCCCCCAGATGGGTGTCTCCATTGGATTCGTTTCCCTTTAAGGCACTTACATAGGAGTAGCAGGTACGTTAAACTGACAACACAAACTGGTATTTTAAATATGTATATATGTATATATATGCATATACACACACAGCAGCAGCACAATTTGGGCTGACATTTTCCTTACTGAACACTGGAAGGCCCACATGCCATGTATCCATCTAATTGAAAAGTTGCATCTGAGTGGTCAAAGCTCCAGACTCAAGTTTCATAATAAAAAAAAATCAAGCTTCTCAGTTTTTGTTTTCCTTTGATTCCTTAATGCAGTTATACTCCTAGCACTTGCTTTCCCCCAGCTAAATGTGTGATCATTTCACAAGCATTTCTTGAAAGAATGTGTCATGGCTGCTATAAAAAACTATGCAGATGCAGATTAAAATCAAAATTTAGTACCCTTTTAAAACATATTGTTCTAAACATCTCTTCATTTTTAAGGGTGATGGTTAAAAAAATGTAAGAGATTGAATACAAGGCTATCGTTTCTTTAGCATTGCCTTTCAAGTGTAAAATGCGTGAGATCATCCCCAAAAATGTGATCTGCAGCTAGAAAATTTGTGTTTTAAACAGCAAAATGTAATATCTGTTAAGATCTGGTGTTGCTGTTTTCTTATAAAATCTCTGACTTCTTCATTTTGCAGTTTTTCACTGAAGTGGGTTACAGACTCCAACCAAGGAATGTTAGTAAATGGTGGACAACTATGGTGGGCATCCTGAAAGCATCCCTGCTCAGTTTCACAACCATAACCTTCACACAATTCGAGTTCAAGTATGCGTACAAATCTAAATCAAGAATTTGGCAAGATTTGCTTATGTTACGCAAGAATTGTTAGGGCCACTGAGAGCTTTTTGTGTTTAGATGCAGAGACATGAAACAGCCTGGAGACTAATGATTTTGCTTTGCTGGCAATAGCAGTGAGAGATTTGCCATCCGGACGGACTGCAGGACAAGGAGGTCACCTCCACAAAACAAGGCCAAGGAACAGTTTTGGCTCACAGAGGTGAGTTTTTCCTCGTACTGCTCAAAATTTTAGCCTTTATTCTGCTCAAAATTTTTCCTGACGTAGTCCAGCCTTGTTTGGTGTTGCCAAACCCACGAGGTTTCAAATCTAAAACAAAAAATGTCTGGGAGAAGGTTGGATGATCAGAAAGTGCAGAGAAATCTATTCTCTCTCATAACCTCAGATTTTAGGTGTGCAATCTTGATAACAGCTTTAAGCACGTGATCTGAGTTGTCTCAGCTCACTATTCCCCCCACTCCCCCTCAGCCCTAGTTTACAGCCCTCCCAATGAGCCCCGCTGCCTTTTCCCCAGGGACTCTCCTACCCCTTTGAGAAAGGCAAACTCCATGTGGTGCCCTCAAACCTGGTACCATGTAGGCTAATTGGCTGTCAAAAAAATCAAAGTTATGGTGACAGCACCAGCCACAAAGCTAGGTATTTAACAATAAGATCCTTTGCTTTGTTTCTGTGTCCTCATCCAAGGCAAGGAGGGTTTTCATGTGCAGCTTCAAGCACAGACTTGTCTCCATCAATTAATCTTACACATCATATAATCATAGAATCATTCAGGTTGGAAAAGACCTTAAAGATCATCCAACCACAACCTAACCATACTACTCTAACAACCCTCTGCTAAATCATGTCCCTGAGCACCACATCCAAACGCTTTTTAAACACATCCGGGGATGGTGACTCAACCACCTCCCCGGGGAGCCCATTCCAGTGCTTAACAACCCTCTCTGTAAAGGATTAATCAATCCTTCAACCAGCCAAGGATTTACAGGTGTGTTACCCTGTTGTGTTTTATTCTTATTATCCCTTTGCTCTAAACTAAGTAAAGATGAACTCGCTTCTTTTACTTGGTGTCTGTGTCCTCTCATACTGACTTTGTCCACTGGCAAAACAGCGTTGCTTTTCAGCAGTGACAACGACAGTGGTCACCTCCTCTGGTGCAGATTTTTATGAGTGCAGCATGCAGGCTCTTATTCATGGCTGTTAGAAATGCATAGCTAACAGTGGTGATTATGTTGAAAAATAGGGTTTTGTAGCTGAGAATTTGCTCTATCAAATAGTGTTATTGTGTTCTTTGTAGATTTTTTAGTTTCCAGGGAAATAAACAGGAGGCATTAGTTTCAGAGCAACCTATGTATATCTCATGATTATTCAGATTTGAACAACTTGAGTAATTCAATTTAGTAAACTAGCAGCACATACTTTGAAGCACATCTGTTGAAAAAGAAAGGTTTTAACCTTCAGGAAGGCTGAATACTTGAATAGCTCAGCTATTTATTGTAAGTGTCACTACTCAGCACAGGCATCCAGGGAAGAGAGATCAGTGGCTTTTCTGAGAAATGCTTAGTGTTAAGCCTTGGTAAGAGCAACCAACCAACCAGCTCATTCTCCTTTTATCTCCTGCAATTCAGCTGACAAAAGATAGGAAGGTGCAAAATTTACTCTTCTTTTTGAAAACCAATCTATTTCTGGTTATACAGGTATCAAGAAGCATTTTTTTTCTGGCAATTGTCCACATTAAATGGGAGGGAAAGTTATCATGTTTCCTGCTTTCCCCTTTCAAATAACCAGATGAAAAGAAGTAAAAGATGCTATCTGTCTAAAATTTGCTACTCCGGGAAAAAAAAAAGTTAACTATACTTCAAAGCCAAATCAATTCTCAGATGACCTGCAAGTCTAGGAAAACGCTGTCCTCAAGAAATACCCACCTTTCCATACAGGCAGAACTCCTTTTCTAAACAGGAAAACTCATCTAACACTCTTTCCAACTCAATGAACAATTAGTTGTTCTAAACATTTCAGTGAATGACATTTAATCTTCATGCTTCAAAATGTTAGATTCTGTGTTATAAGGTAATGCACTGCTGGGAAAGTAATCGCATTGAAAACCTTAGGTTCACATTTAGGACAAAAATACTCCTGATTGGTGCACCATCAGTGCATTTTATTAAACATCAGCTAACAGAAACCACTGCAAAAAATGCCACCTGAAATAATTTTCTGTCTTCTTTGAAGTTTTACCTTAATATCAAAATTAAGGTAATAACATAAAAACGGTTTCATTGTTGGTGGGAATAACGCCTTATTTTGGCTCCTCTGTAACTTAACAGCATAGGTAACAAAAACTTGTTTCAAAACTTGAAAAAAATCTTACTAAATGAAAAAAATTCCATATTTTTAGTAACAGACAAGAGCAGGATCACAAACAACAGACAGGTTTCACAAGCAGATTAGGTTTCACCTGAACAAATACATCAGAGGGATAGTAAATTCCCAGCAGAATTCATTATACAGTTTGGTACTTTTACTGAAATAGCAGAAAATGGTTGGCCAGCGAGGCAATAACCTACAAAAATTCATTTTAGTAGCATTCTTAGAAATTAAAGTCTGAAATAGCACTTTTTTTTTTTTTTTTATTTTTTCCACCTTTTGAACAGATTTCTTTTTGTAGATTGCACCTCACACCATAGCCAGTTCCCTTGGTATAACCAATTGCAAACCACACAATAAAACAAACTAGTGAAAAAAATCAAACTAACCTGCTAACTTAATGTAACTTCCTCCTGCACACATGATGTCTTATGTCTTCAAAATACTACTAGTAAATCCCAGTAGCCAGGAATATTTATTGGTCAAAGATGAACAATCTTCTACTAGGTTACACCACTAACTACCTTTTGCTGTCAGACATGACATAAACTCCTTTTGAAGGAAATTCATATTGAATAAATTTGTTTTGCACTTTGTGTTCCTTTAGATGCAAGATTTTTCTTCAAATTTAAAATTCAAAAATGTCCATTTCTTCTATTGCACTAAAAAAAAAAAAAAAAAAAAGACTACATGTACTCTTTTGTTTGCTACTTTCTTTGTTTCGTATGAATTTCTGGAAGTTTGATGTGGAGTCAAAGCAGTAAGAAAAAACACAATACAATCAAGTATTATCAAACACACTCTTGGTTTTTATTCCTTGGTCTTCCAAGTACCTGAGGTGTCAGATTAATCTTAAATAAGAATGATTACATGTTCAAATTACACAAATCCGAATTATTTTCTGGTGAATAAAAAGTAAAAATGCTCTTTCAATTGAACAATGATTTAGTACTGGATGCACAAAGCATGCTTTAGAAGTTAAATAGGTTTGGAATGAAATTTTAAAATCCTGTTGTTCGAAAAATATTACATGGAAAATCTTGAACAAGTTCTTCTTCCTATCTTAAGTATCTCAGCCTTTCCAAAATTGCACCCAGGAAGCAAGAACTTCAGCAGACAGTCCAAATAGTTTTTTTGACTTCTTGTTGTGTCAGATGACATTCAGATACTTATGTCCCGGTCCAGAGTCTTTGTAAGGCCATTATTTTCGTTCTCTTCCAGGTAAGTAGCTTTTTTTTCAGTCAAAGTAGCAAATAGTGCATCCATCATTCCTAAAACTTCTAACAGTTCCTCTTGATAGTCAATTTCTCTTCCTATGGCTTCCTGAAGCCTCAAGAACTGTTTATCAACAAGCGCTGACTGTCCAACCACAGGCTGATAGATGTCTGTAAAGAGAAGAGTATTTAGGACCCCTCTATCTAGTAAAAACATAAAAACTACTGGCTACTTAAACAGACATTTAAGGAATTTGGCACCAGCCCAATACCATGTGCAAATAAGACAACTTTGCTGATGTTGTGAAAACAGCATAAATTATTGATGCATACTCACATAAAGTACAAACTAACAGAAAAAGAAGTTTTTGCTATCTCAAATGCTATTTTTATTTCACCTGTAGTCACTTGTACTACGCAAGTATGGAAACATGAAGAATCAAAAAAATTGGGAGATTATGAGAAGCTTCCTATATAATGCAAATTAGGTACTGACTGTGGTCAAAGTTATCCAGCAAAATTTCTTTTCGGGTCATTTTCTTGCCACTGAGTTTATACTTATACACAAGCTTGTAAAAGTTTAGTTTCTTAAAAGCATAACACTTTTCATCTTATATTCAAGCTGGCTGTTGGGCTCTCTTTTTGTGCTGTACTTTTGTACTTACCAGTGATCATCTCTGCAACAGTTATCAGTACTGGAGTAAACCTAGGTTCAATTACACGCCTGTAAAATTAGAACACATCCATATTTTTGTTTTTGTAAAAAGCAAGTTAGAAGCAGTTTTATCATGCTGGCATGCAGACACATTTTTCCCCTTGATGAGAACTCACAGAACTGCCCTCAGGGATACGAGTCAAAAGAGTTACATATGGCATGTAAGCTTCAATTTTCACAAGGGCACTGTGGCTTCAAGGAATGGCAAAAGCCTCAGGTAGATGAAGACGTGAGTTGCATTGAGGAAATGGAAAATAAAGGACTGTGGACAAAATGTCTGCCAAAGGAGCAAGGTAATCTCTCTTTATGGCTCTCCTAGCATCAGCAAAATCATTTTATGCTAATACAAACTATTTCAGTGCTGCAGCTGAAACCCCAGACCTTCACTTTAGAAAGCAGAACGTAATTGAGATTGCAAGTAGAGTTCCAATCATGATGTCCCCTATGGCCTCTGTGGCAAAGGCCATTAAGAAATACAAGTCTCAAGATGTCAGAGAGAACTTAAGGCAAAATAGTACCTTGTCACAAAGGTAAGGAGGAGACTAATTTGCTTCTCATCTCGGCCTGCAAGCGCGCTCCTTAATGTTCCTCTGCGATTTAGTTCCTGCATAACTGCAACCGTAACTTCAGGAGTATAAAGCCTAATGTGTGGCTGGACATACATAGGAAGAGTTTAGTACCAAAGCAGCTTCTGTGTACAGTAAACAGGGGTTGGTATCAACTTGCAAAAAAATGAAAAAAAACATACAAGGAACCCAGACAGATTTGATTCCATGCTAGTCATACATTGAAGTTAGCTTGAGATACAGAAAAATCTACTATAGATGACAACATACAGATTTGCTGAGACAAAAAAATTAAAAAGCCTTACTTCCAGTACAGCATCCAGGGCCTTGGATGACTGAAAGCTCTTAAGCAGCTTGTCATATTTTTTCAAAATACATCTTACAGGCTTACTGATGTAGAAATCCTCCTGGAATTGAAAGACAAGTTCTGAATAATACACATGCACCTATACAATTAGATAGCATAACACAAACATATTACTACAGACAAGCTTCAATGTCTTTGTATCTCCCCGCCCTTCAACTTAACATACGAAACGAGAAATTTTGATTGCTTCAGTAAACATTTGCTCACTACATCCTACCTGTTTTGGCATATAATTTCTTCCTTTCACATAAGTTCTATATGCTGGCTGTCTCTTCTTCTGAGACTTTTCTTTGCTTTCTTCAGGTTTTCTGTGTTTCACATTCAGCACCCCATTGGTCATGCCTACAATTATAGTTTCATCTTCAGGCTAAAATGTAAAAATCACAGAGTTAAGAACCTCATGTTTTATCTGATGATACATGTCTTACTGTTGTGGCAATTAGGTCACGGACTCTGCTGCATTTGCACAGCGAAATCCTTTATTATCTGCATCTATGGACTTTTATACCTATACTAGCTTGACCTGGTAATTTTCCACTATTCTTTGCACCCCAAAGCTGCATATGCAGAGCAAGCAGTTCACAGTCATGTTGGAAATAAACAGTTACAATTCCCTGACAATTGTTGCTAAAGTGTAGGTTCTTTCTCCCCTGTATTCTGGACATGTCCTTAGTTCTCAGCCTTGTCTTCTCACATTGTTTATTTTCCTCAGCAGCCTCTGCCCTTAATAGTCTTGTATTCCCACATACTATCATGTAGATTTCTCAGTTTCTATGCTTAACAATAAAGCTCTAGTCACAATATTATAAGATTACCTAGTTGGAAAGTACCTCTATCAGATCCTACAGTCAAACTCTCTATTCGTAACAGGACCTGCCTCAAAGCTATAATCCTAAGCAATATTAGACATTATTAAGCCTCTAATAAACACCTACAGAGATAGCAACTGACTAGTTAAGCAAGGCTCAAATTTGTTCTAATATCCTTCTTACTTAGGCCTCAAGCAGTGCATCATTTCTAACAGTTTATCTCAAATGGCATGCAGCTTGCCTTGGCTATTACAGACTATACGAACATGTGAACAGTGTCTGTGAGAAAGCTCCTGTAAAGCAGCAGAATTCCCAGAAACAAGTGAAAATTGTTCAAAATATCAGTCATTGGTGCATGTTCTACCTACACACCAAAGGTTTCATTTATTGATGACAAGGGTTATAACTTTCAATGACGCATTAGAGAAAAACTCTTATTTTACATATAAAAAGGTGGGTTCTGACCTTTTAGTACAAAAACATTAAACATGTTCAGCTGAATGCTGGACAGCTGTGATAACATAAAGTAAATAAGAAATTGGGAAGTACTACTAAGAAATAAAAAAATAAGAAGGCTGATATGGCACTAAATAAATTCATGGCATGTCCAAATCTTAAATCCTATGCATATCATATTCTCAGATAGCAGCAGCAAATTTAGAATAGAAGAATCAAAAAACCCTAAGGAAAATAAGAAGTTGGGTCTGACTTAAGGTAGAACTCTACTCCTTAGTAAGGAATTTAGTGAAGGTTAAAACTTTGTACAAGGAGAGGCTGAATAGGCTTATGTAAGAGAAATTATTTGAGTTACACAGAAACTGCATTCTAACCAGCAAATTTTTCATCTAAAAATGTCCATGGAATTTGGGAGAACATTGGGAGATTTATCATACAGTTTTCTTGCTTTCAGTTTTACATAAGCATCTGCTAATGGCTATAGCTGAAAGCAGAATCTAGGACAGACCAACTTTTGGTTTGACCTAACAGAATCAGTTCTATGTTCTCATTCGATCTTATGATTTCCAGGTGTCAACCAGAAACAAAAAATTATGTCTCAAAATATACATACACAGCCACACAAATGCCAAACCACGAGTACTGCACGTGTTTTGCAGCTGCAGCACCAGTCCAAAGCACATGCATTTTGTGGTTGTGTGAAACATACACCCCGTGACAGTCTTCATTCAAAACCCAATTAACTCCAGTTCTCTGAGGAAGAACAAGGTGGGAAATACATGAAGGAAGATCTCTTGACCTCCACAGCTTGTTTACCCTCAGTTTCAGAAAAGCAGGACAATAAAGTAGCAAAGACAGTAAACAATCTTCACTGTCTCTTTTACATAGCTTCCAGAGGCTACATCATGATAAGGCTGATCTAGAAAGCGGTGCCCACCTTCACAATTTTTTGGTTATCCATCAACACTCAAATGCTGCAGAGAAATAAATATCTTTGTTTTCCTTTTCCAAAAGGAAAATACATGTGCCTCAGCAAATGCATTTGTTTATGCTCATCCCCCAGGCCTTTTCCTTTTCCTCAGATGAACCAGGGAGGTGGTGGAGTCTCCTTCTCTGGAGATGTTCAGGACCTGCCTGGATGCCTACCTGTGCGACCTGCTGTAGGGAACCTGCTTTGGCAGGGGGTTGGACTCGATGATCTCTGGAGCTCCCTTCCAACCCCTACAATTCTGTGATTCTGTGAACTTGTATGACAGATTCATCCTATTCTAAATATTTCAAACAACATTTTAACTACTTTTTCAATTTATCATCCCTGTAGAAGAAATACATGAGTCCTGAAAAGCAAACAATGAGTAACACTCTCCTGAAAAATCAGAAGGACTTCCTTACAGACTTCCTCTATGCTACATACAGTTCCTGGTAAACACAAAATTTTGTACAGATCTCATCAAGTAACACCTGGGATATTAACCTATTATATTTAATACCCTTTCATGCAATCTTACTCAGAAGAAATACATTCACTGATCCTAGTTCTCAAGTACAGTGTTATTGTGAAACACCTAAGAGCAATGAAAGCAAAATGAAACCACTTCAGTAACTTAGCTGTTATCAATAATTAAACAGTTTCTGAAGCACTTACCGACAGTGCAAGACTAAGGATGGATGTTGCATAGTTGAAGCTGTGGACTACTTTGTAGGAAGTTGTACTGTAGATCTTCACATGCCTGCATAAAGTAGTGATGATTAAAAAATTTGTTTTTAAGGCTTTACTGATGAAAATTCTGTTTTTACATTCTCACCTTTTAGGTAATCATTTCAGAAGACTGAATACATAAACAAAGCTTTTTTCCCATTACCTGGAAGCATCTTAGCTTTTACCTCTTCTGCAGTGACAGAAAGTCTCAAAAAAAAAATAAAATAAAATCCAGAAAAGATAAGAAAGTTTTATCTTTACGCCAAAAGATGAAAACAACACAAGGACAGAAAAACAAACTGAAGGCAGATGTAGCTGCAATCCGACTTCAGTAATGTTTATTACAAAACATTAGGACAGCATTTCCTCCAAACTGTTCTTAAGCTTTAAATGGAGGATTTATTGACAATTTCTGGAAGTAAGTTCATGCATATTCTTGCATCCTGCTGCCCTTTAGTGATTTGACTGACGGTGAGAAGAAATTCACAAGTTGGGAAAAAACAATGATCCTGAAACAAGTATGAGCTCTGCTGTTAGGAGCACTGTATGACAAATATCTACATGGCTGGTGTGATCCTTCACACCTCATGCTTCACGACTGATGGCTTGAGGAAACCCACTGCACTCCCTGCTGTAGTTCCTGGAGAAGCAAGCTAACAGACCACTGTCATTTCAGACCACTTCATATTTCTGATATGTCAGGGACAACCAGTTGAGTATCTGAAATCAGCAATAGAATTTAAAAAACAAAAACAAAAAAACAGCCTTACAAAGAAGAACACAAGGCACCTCTGCACCACCTTGAGTACACTCCTACTGACAATCTCATTTCAAGGGAGACACAATATATGTTTTTAAACAAATTACACCCCTAAAAGCTAAAAGGGTTTAAGCTTAAACATGTACACAGCTTCAGGCTGATGTAGAATTCCTTCCAAAGGAAAAAAAAAGTCTAAAACATTTAAATCACAAAAAAGTCACAAAACATACTAACCTGTCCAGGGATCCTGACAGTAACCTTTGTCCAGAGCTGTTCAGGCACAAGCAAGTTACGGTCTTATGATGATTTTTAAGTGAAACTAGTAATTGTCCACCCTTCAGTACATCCCAGACTTTGACATATCGACCTCCTATGAGAAAGAAGAACACAGAAGAGCTGGGCGGACACACAGAAATTTATGCTTGTCTGAAGTTTTCACACAGTGATACAGTGCCACCTTTGCAGCACAGAGGTTTCTGCACCTACTCACCCTCCCAGTCTGTTCCTGACTACCTTCTGGGACAAGACATGTTACTGTCTGCCTTTTTTTTTTTTTTTTTTTTTTTTTAAGGTCATTCTGCAGACATAACTGAATGATTCAACATACTCTCTACAAAAAGGATTTATATGCCACTGGATCATAAGACCCCTCATGCAACAGCAAGAAGAGAATAAAAGTACCTGCAGACACTAGAAGACCTCCAGAAGGGAAGAGAAGCACACTCTCCACAGGATGGCCATGTTCTATCGTCATGACACTGCTCTTTGTTCGTGCATCAAATACCTTCACAGTGTGATCATAGGAACCTGAAACAACACCATAGCTGGTTTCAGTTACATAATTTCAATTACTTCAGGAACTAAAACAGCCACATGCTACAATTTAAAGGAGTTCCTGCCAAATGGAAACAGCTTTAAACCATGTACATAAAAATTCTAGTGGTTCACTCAAGTTAATATACCAGAAAAACTGCTGAAACCTAGCACCTTGTGACCTCTAAAGTCAGAAAAATCTAGATTTTTTCGTACTACTTTAATTTACAGTTTCAGTACAAATTAATGAAAAGTTGCTGGTATGAAAACCAAAAGCATCTGATTTTAAATACTTCTCATACGACTTTGTCATTTCTGAGTCTGCAAGTTTTAAGGTGTACAAACCACAGTGGAACTAGTGTTATTCTGAAACATCACAAAACACCAGATTCAGTGAAAGCACACATTCACAGCTTTTCTTAAACTTTCAAAAGCAAGTCAGAACGGTCCCATTAACCTTAGCAGGGTATAACAAGATGTTTAACAGTTACAGTTCCCCTACAAACATCAATATTTGGCTTGAAAAGCAAGCAAAAGAAAAACAACACATTAGGCCCCGAGCTGGAAAACACATTCTTCACGTTTAAAATAAAATAAACATGATGCTACTGTTATGTATTAAAAGCTTCCTGCGTTTAAATTCTGTTCTAGCCAGAAGAAACATATATGAAAAAAGAAAACCAAACCTGTTATAAAGACATCTCCATTCAGTTTACTTGCACAGCCACATCTCACATAGTCAGTATGCTCACTGTAGGACACTATTTCTGCAGCACTCGGAATATCCCACAGCCTCGAGGAATAATCATCACCACCAGAAAATATTCGGTACTTATCAGACAGGAAGCCCACCACGTGAACAGCTCTAGAAACCAAAGTCCAGAACATCCAAAGTTAAAATATTCTGTCATTTCCATAACACTGCATCAAAAGCTTGTTAAAGGAAGGCATTCTCTCTAGCCTGGAAGCACAAAACATTTGCTACTGGAAGCTACAGACCCTCACTTCAGAAGTTAAGAACAGTTTAGGTTTTATAGTTTCAGTCAGGAAAGGATCTTTCGTCTTGGATCACAGCAGATGCACATGAAAAGTTTTAGAGGACTACCGTCTGCTTGCTCAAGAGATGTAAATCCTATATTTGTTACTTAGAGGCCTGTGAGCTAGCTTAATCCTTTAGACCACATTTACAATATTGAGCTTTAAGTAAGACAAGGTTGGACACTTCGTGGCCCTTAAAATCACTACTGGAATTACTAATATAACAACAGAGAATGATTTCAACAAATAAAACAGGTTAACCTAACTATAATAAAATTTATGATACCTAAGAGTCACAACATAAAGTAATACCTTATCTAAAAGCAGAGAGCTCAAATGGAAATACAGTCTCAAGTGCTCTGTGGGTACTCTCCTGAGGGAGGATGATTGTTGCTTTCCATAAAGATAAGTCACTCACAGGTCTTGAAAGGGTAGCAATTTGTCAAATCAAAGTATTACCACTCTTTTCTATCTGGAACATTGGAACTCCTCTTCCAAATTTTTCCCCACCCAGATGTGTTGGTTTTTGTTTTTTTTTTTTTGCTGTTTTGTTTTTAAGTGAAAAAGGTGCATTTTTTATAACTGTTCCTCCTAGCAACAAATAAAATTTGTCTGTCGGCACATGCAGGCATGAGACTACATCTATGCAACACATTAACAGACATCTCCCTGAATTAGAGTACATACTTATTCTTCCATGTACTCAAGTCATACTTAGAATGAAAAACAATGCTGTCACTGCAATTCATAACTTGATTTTAAAATCTATTTTTTGGTAATACGTGCAACAGTTGCAAGCATCTGATTAATAGTACTCAGATTTTTAGCAACGTGCAAAGCAGACGTATGTAAACACACAAAATAAATTTATACATGCAAAGAGCAAGACTTACTTTGTATGACCATCAAATTGTCTCAGGGGTGCCCTTCCACTAATATCAAAGAGGCGAATGCTGCCTTCCTCGCTGCCAGCAACAAGCAATTTTCCATCATCCCTGTATGTGGCACAATAGGCGGCATCTTTGAAGCGAGAAAATGTCTTAATTGGTTCCTGAGAATAGCGTCCATAAATGTGGACCTAGCAAAACAAGAAGACATTATCTTCACACAAGGGGCATCGGTTGAAAAGAAGCAACATAGCAACCTTACAGACAGCCACTCACCCTCGAGGACGCTGTGACAGCGTAGTTATACGGAGGAACTGGAGAGAAGTCTATTTTATTTATTGCACCAAACTCCTTAATCTGAACAGGTGTCTAAAAGAGTCAAAATAAAGACAATTAAATACACATCGGCACACCATCAAAAATGACAACAGTGTAAAGAAATCTCTTCTTGCCGCTGAGCTTAAAATGCAATTGGGAACAAAATTATCTCTGAAGCACCATCCTATTTTTCCCTAGGCTGTTTCTGCTCTCGTGCTCTTCACACATTATAACCGATCCATTAATTACACACTTTGTCTGAAAGGGAAAAAAAAAAGAGTTCTATTCACTCCCAGTACTCCGCTTATTCCAACAGAAGCAGTAAGAAATACTTTAGGACAGCCAGGACTCCCGCAGCCCAGCCCGTGATACAGACTGCCCCAGCCGCGCAAGGAGGCGCCGAGTTCCCTTACGCCACGAGCGCGGCCCGGCCAGCACGCGGGGCAGGTGGAGCCAGCTGCAGCCCCGCGCTGACGGAACGCGACCGGCGCTGCCCCAGCTCCAGGGCCCTTCCCACCTTGTACCCCCTCCAGTACAGCGTGTCTTGCGTGATCTTCTCCCCGAGCTTCGGCACCGCCGGGATCGCGACGGGTTTGTAGGATGCCATGACTGAGCAGAAGGAGGAGCCGGGAGGTCTCCGAGCGTAAGGCCGAGGTGCTGCGGAGGAGCGATGCGCGCCGGGAGATGTGGGACGCGCCGGGAGATGTAGGGCGCGCCGCCTCACAGCGCAAGGAGCAGGCCGCGCCGCGCCGCCATGCCTAGCCTCGCAACGCCTCGCGGACAGGCAGCACTTCGGCGGGAGACTGCGTCATCGGCGGGCGCCGCCACCTGGCCAATCGCAACGCTGTGAGGCGGAAGTGACGTCTTATCCCCACCCAATGAGGCGGAAGTGATGCCTCACCGCCTTGGGGGCGGTAAGACGCCGCTTTCTCCTCATCGCGGGAGGCTGCGCGGGGAGCACGGCCTCGGCCTTGCTGGGGTCCTGTCGCAGCTTTCCTCGAGGCCTTCCTCCGGCTGCTTCCCTGCCGAAAGGGGCCCGTCGTCTCCTGGGGCGTGCGCTGGGGCGCCCTTGTTTCTGTACGGTTCGCTTCGGTGGTGTATCGTGAAGGAGCAGAGTCGTTTGTGTTCTCCTTCAGGTCTAGCGCTGAGAAGAAAAAACCTGGTTCACCGCTCGACGCCTTTCTTTGCTTAGGGTGAGTAAGGGTGGATGCGTTTTGTTCTTTGCCCTTTTTGTCTTGTTTTTGTTACAGACAGACTGACATCTAAATCCAGCTGGAACATCCACTTGGTCAAAAGCTCTTGGGTGTAGTAACGTTGGGATTTCTAAACGATTTAACTACCTAAAGCAAAGATAAATCTAAGCGATGCGCGCACAATGTATTTTTGTGTGTCACTTCACCAGTATCTTATCTGTGTTTGACTGCAGGTAGGATCTCCTTGGAGCTTGGCTGACCAGGGCTGCTTTTGGCTGGAAACCATGAGGAAATACTTTCCATAAAAGTGTCACGCAACCAAAGCCATGGCATCTTCAGCTAACTTAGACACTGGGGCCCAGCTAATTGTGGAAGAGTGTACCACTAGTTACAGCCTTCCACCCATGCCAGACATCAAGGTGGAGCACCAGCTTGACTCCAGCACAGAGGAGGGCCCATCCCAGAGTGTGGCCATGGGCATGAAGTTCATTTTACCCAATAGATTTGATATGAACGTCTGCTCACGATTTGTGAAGTCTCTGAATGAGGAGGACAGTAAAAATATTCAAGACCAAGTTAACTCTGACCTGGAAGTGGCATCTGTCCTGTTTAAAGGTTGAACTTTTATGGTAGAAGTTGTTATGTCCAGACTGTCTCATCATGCTCTGTTTTTTAAAAAGCCTGTGCCATGTATGTGTGTTAATCAGTAATAGTTTCTAAGGTATTTTTTGCTAGCATTTTTTTTATAAGCTTGATGGTTTATTACTGTATAATTCATTTCCCCCAGGATTTTTTATGTCGCACTTTTAGCTTTGTTGGTTTGGTTTTTTAATCAAAAAAGTTGAAGAAGTAACAGCACAAAAAGCTTTTAATTCATAAAGAGCTGATGCGGATTTTAAAAACAAGGTTATTTCTGGTAGCAAGATGAAAGTCTAAGATGAGCTATACCATGTTGAATGTATATGTCTTTAGAAAACCTTACTTTTATCTTTCCACTATTACAATGACAGAGTAACGTCAGTCATGCAGTTGACTTTGTCATACCCATACAGCTGTATAAAGCTTGTAGTCACTGCAGTGATCATCTTGCTGATTCAGTTTGAAAGTGAATGCTTCTGCTGTTCTATAAATTGTTCCCTGCAGCTGTTCTCTAACCACTTCTGTCCAGCTTCATAAGAATTGATCTGTGCTCTTTAACGACAGAGCGTATTGATGAGAAAAATAATTTTTAAGAATTCTGTTTACCCTTAAAAAGTGTGCTTTTTTTCAGTGTTTGATTCAGTATTCTGGACTCTGAGTAGTTTGTCATGTCATTATGTTTAATTTTACACTTTTTCTATAACGAATACACAGACCTATTATGGGTTTCCATGATTTCACTGTGTTTAAAGGCCCTGAATGCTTTCTAGTGGAGCTGCAGACTTGTACGAGAAATTTAGACCCATCAGAAGTAGGGTTGTTTTTCTTAGATAACAACTGTGAATCTTTTAAAAATAGTCCTGCAGATCCAGGGTCAAAAATCACTTAATTTGATAACTTCTGCTGCAGCTGCTTGGCAAACAAAGTGGAATTTTGAATGTATCCTGTTACCCTATTCTTACTGGCTCTCTTATGAAATTTGTACTTGGATTTATGACCACAAGGTTCTCCATACAGTGAATTCTGTGTGCATGTCGATTAGTTTCCTGTCACTAATTACTAATTATAAAGAGTTTAACCCTTTAATAATTGGCTTCACAGCCACTTTTGTTGCATTTTCTCTAAGCTAGTTTGGAATATATCTATTCCTCATGGATAAACACTTATAAGACATCAGTAATGCAGATATTTTATCTGACAGGAGTGGAAGAAGTCTTGGTGAAGACTCTTAGTTGCTACAATATTCGCATTGTATTCTTTGCACTGGAGAGTGCTAGTGAGTGTACTGAATGCCAAGGAGTACCTGATAAATCCATGCCAGATATGTTGGAGATCTAGGCAGAGAGTTTCCTCACTTAGACAGCAAATTGTCTCTGGTGACATGCCATACTTAAATGTGGGATACTAGCACTGTTTTATGTTTTATATTGAAAACAGCTCTTTGTTCAACGCACATAGTACACAGTAGAAAAAGCACATGCTACATAGATCATGTAGTGTGTGTTTGAAAGATCTTACTGTGTTGGTGCTTTCTAACTTGATCAGAATCTGTGGCTTTGATTTAATTCTCTTCCTGGTACTAAAATTATGTCTGTTTTCTCTAATGCAGCTGAATGCAACATCCGTACTTCTCCTTCACCTGGTATCCAAGTAAGACATGTTTATACTCCATCAACTACTAAGCATTTCTCACCAATAAAACAGTCAACTACCCTAACTAACAAACATAGGGGAAACGAAGTCTCTACAACACCTCTGCTTGTAAACTGTAAGTATCCTTCTGCCCTTCAGCTAATAATTCTGTTGTGAACTGCAAGTTCACTCGGCTTGCCGAGTTTTTTCCTTTTTTGTTTTTTCCCACTTTAATAGACTTTAGTGTAGGAAGAAAACATTGTTTGATGTCACAGTGTTCCAGCCTGTTTTGAGTGCATAACTGAAGTGCTTTTTCCAGAAAATGGTCCAGTTCTTGATTTGAAAAGCAGAGACAGTGATTTTTCCGATCCTCTTGGAGCTTTAAGCTTTTGTGCCTGATTTTCAGATTATTTTCAGATTATTTATTTTATTTAATTATTTTCAGAACTTATGAAGCTTAATTGCTTCAGACTGCTGCAAACATCATAGTTATCATGCATCTTGAAAATCAAGAAGACACTATTATTCAAGGGTTTTTTTAATGCTTAGTTTCAGGCTTTTTCTCTATAGCCAACTTCTTTAAGATTTACTTTACCTCTTATGAACTACTGTCTTTTTAAATTACTTTTAAATCTTCATTGTGCATCCTTAAACTGAGTAAGGCCCAATTTAAATAAATTGGGAAAAGTAGATCTTGACATAGACCTCAGCCTGGCTAAAACAGGTAGTCTGTCAGAAAAAGAAATCAAGATTTCATGCACTGATCAGAGAGGAAAAAAAAAAAAAAAGACATGGTATATTTACATATTATGTAATTGTTAGCTGATTTTCTTATTGTGTAGACCTGAGATCATTTATTGTGTATATTTCTTCCTGAGCATCTTTCAGATTTGCCCCAGGTTGTGATTGTCAGAACCATGCCCTTGTGCAGTATTTACTATGGGATCAAAGAGTTCTCTTTCATAACTCCTTAAAGAGTTCTGCTGTCTTTATGGCTTGGCACTTTTGATTAAAAACAAAAAAACTCACCACTTTATTCTTCCTTGGTAGGTGTCATGTTGTACGGAGTTCTGTAATGTCTGCTCTGTCCCACCTGGTAGCGAATAAGAGTCATGTTTGGGTTTTCCAGATATTTTGTGGTCTCTTCACACAATAAATGTCATTTGTAAATTAAACAATCGTAAAATATCAAAATAAGTTTGTTTCAATTTGATAAATGTTCTTAATATGCTCTGGGGTTGCTGACCAAAAATGGGAAAGGGTAGCACATTGCCTTCTGAGAAGTCAATGTAAAGAACCTTTTACCATAATTTCTACATTAATTAAAAAACTATGGAAACTTATGAAATTCTTTGGAAAGGTCTCACATTTTATGATAATGATTCAGAGTAAAAGGTGATATATATCTACAGTGTCATGACTGGACTCTGTATAGTTCAAGCCAATGGATGTTCTATGCCCACCTCCAAACATCAGAATGAAAACTGATGTCTGTATCACCTCTTCTTGCTTTCTTTTCTGCAGCTTTATCAGTTCACCAGCTGGCTGCTCAGGGAGAAATGTTGTATCTGGCCACACGTATTGAACAGGGTGAGTCTGAGGAAAAGTTAAATACCTCCCTCTTTATCTCGTGCACTTATATCCTGCTACACTCAGCTTTTTCTCAGAAGATGCATTAAAGAGATCTCCAAATCTGATACTATTGAGAGTCCCTTCCAACTTTTGACTTTCGAGATACCTGTTCTTTGCAGGTGAACTGTTGTTTTCTATGACTCTCGTTTCACTCAGTGCTTTGATTTGCATTTAAAATGAAACATTAACATTGATGGAAGTTGAGAAATCTGTTATTTTCCTTGCTTCCGGTACCGTGGGTGATCTGTAAACTTTTAAGAGAATGTTAGTTCTATCAAAAGAGGTGCAGTTGGCTTGGTTTTCTTGATTTGTGTTGTTGTTATTTATCATTTAAATGCATACTGTTAATTGAAGCTTTCTGATTCTATTTAATTGATCAACAGTAGGGAACTGTATGTTGGGAATTTAAGCTATGGATCAAGCTTGCTATATAAGAGCACTCATTCCAAGTTGTACTGTATTCTTCAGCATGATAGTTGTGTCTGTAGTACATACAGAAAATTTCAACCTTTATATCTGTATTACATTGAATTGAGTATTGTTCACAACGTATGTTTACTCTGTTATTCATTACCAGGCTTGTTTTCAGTCCTTCTGTTAAAACTTTCACAGAAAGCAAGAAGTGAATATCTGAGTGTGTTTACCTTCTCAGTGTGTTGTCTATCTGGAGGTCAAATTGTTTTTTGAATTGTTAGTAATCAATAAAAATGCTTATTGTGGTGCTACAGTAAGAATGAAAATTTAAAGGATTTAAATCCAACTAATTCAAATGGCTACTTAAGAAGCTTCTTTACTTTTCAAACAGGACTTCTCTCCAAATACGAAACCCATATTAGAGGCAACTTAAAATTTTTTTCTGAGTAAAAACAGAGCTGGGTTTATAGAACCTAAAAACAAAAACTCAGCTACTAAATTTTACTTTAGTCTTTTTTTTTTTTTTCCCCTTGGACAAGGATATTTTCATCACCACTGTTATAGAAATTTATTTTTAAAGTTAAAATTTGAGTGACTTTAGAACATGCTCCTACCTCAGTTCATTCACAATGGGTATGACTAAGCATTCATTCTACCATATATTATGAAAGGGATTAATAAGTGGTATATTTTGCTTTGAACAGAAAATGTAATCAATCATAAGGATGAAGAAGGATTTACCCCTCTGATGTGGGCTGCAGCTCATGGGCAGATAGCAGTGGTGGAATTTCTCCTCCAGAATGTAAGGAAAAAGAGCACACTTCATTTTAAATTTCTTGATTTACTTTGTAGTTTATTTTCCCAAAGTTTTGTCAGTTTCGCTATATATTTAAAACTTGTAAAGTTCTCTGTAAAATCTCACTTCAAAACAAATTGGTTAGCTTTCTTTCTTTTTTTTTTTTTTCCTTTTTTTTTTCCCCATTACTTCAGGGTGCGGATCCTCAGATTTTGGGGAAAGGGCGAGAAAGTGCCCTCTCACTGGCTTGCAGCAAAGGGTACACAGATATTGTGAAAATGCTGCTCGACTGTGGAGTTGATGTCAATGAGTATGACTGGGTAAGTCTCTAGCTTGAATTTACGTCAGTGTATGCCTGGTCAGAACTTTGAAGCAGAGCATTGGCTTGGATTTTAAAACTGTTCTCCCAAACTTACACAGGATGTTCTTTGATAACATAAAAGTTGGTGCTGCTAATTCTGACTTACTGGTAAAAAAGAAAATGAAACTAATGCTGAGTCTGATTAGAGGTGTGAGAGTATAATGTCACTGTTAGCTGAAAAAAGGTGGAAGTTTTAGAGAACTAAAACTGATAACCTGATTTTTGTGTAAAACTCATGAAGTCTTGTTCTGGTATCATAGAATGGCCTGGGTTGAAAAGGACTCAAAGATCATCTAGTTTCAGCCTCCCTGCTGTGGGCAGGGTTGCAGCCACTAGACCAGACTGCCCAGAGCCACATCCAGCCTGGCCCTAAATGCATCCAGGGATGAATGTGTGATATATGGAACTATACTGGTATGCTAAGGACTTAAAATTCCAGGCCACTCAATTGCTAAGTGTCTAAGGCTCTTTACTGCTTTTGCAGAATGGAGGTACGCCTCTACTGTATGCAGTGCATGGGAACCATGTGAAATGTGTAAAAATTCTTCTTGGTAAGCAGCCTATCCAAAATGAATTACTGACTGGATGTGTTACCAGTTCTTACTGTCAAAAATCTGACTTGGTTTTCTTTTCGTGTTTTGCATAGAAAGTGGTGCTGATCCAACTATCGAAACAGATGCTGGCTATAATTCCATGGATTTGGCTGTAGCCTTGGGCTATCGGAGTGGTAGGTATTGCAAATGTACATTCCTTAATTTTTGGTTTTGCTGCTCCTTGCTCATGCAGCTGCAGTAGTGGCCTAATAGAGTTTTATCAGTTAGAAAGCTGAAAGAAAATCCCTATTCTCAAAGCCTTAACACACCTAAATATATCAGCATAAAATTAGTACTTTTCCTTATTGCTTCAGAAAGCCAAGTCCCTGATGAGAGAAAATGGCACTAGTGTGAATCTACATCTGTGGGCATGTATAAGGGAGTGTGTAGGTCCGTTGCAGTCATAATCCAGTCAGGGAGAGATGAGCTGCTCCCCAGCCATGTGCAAGGACTGTGAGTTGTACTGGGCAATAATAACAGTGCATCCAGCCCTTCCAAACCACTCAACCCAGTGCAGCGTTTCATTGGAGTGTGATGCAGTTGGCAAAACTTCTTGCTTGTACTAGCTCTGGTTTGCCTTGAAGGCAGACATAAAGAATGAAGAGATTAATGAAGTAGGCTACCCTATTTGGCTCTGGAAGACAAAGAGGCAAAGATTGGATTCTTCACAGATTTATTTTTTTTTCCCCTCGTGATGCCTTCAGTTTGAAAGCTGTGAAGTACCTGTTGTTACACAATCTGGAACTGAATCTAAAATAAGCCAGAACTGCACACGTTGCTCTTCCAAACAGAGTCCTAATACACATGTGGGGGCCAGTAACTTCAGAGGTATTTAGATGTAGGGCTCCTTCAAGATTTCAATCTCAAAATGCTTAAGAGATATAGTTTCTAATAAGCCATTTATACATTTTGAGATTTGCTTGGCATATGTTTTTCATATTCAAACCAGAGAACAGATCATCATCCCCATCTGCCTTCAAACTATCTATGTCGTTTTTGATGATATGAGGTGCTTCTTTTCTGAAGGAATGTAAACTGCCTTCTCAGAGTGAATTAATTCCTGCCTGTCAGTATCTGCCAGAAAAAACAGTACAGACCTTAAAGACTTGAAAAAACATTGAACCCTGATTAACCCAAATCATTTCTTGGCTTTAGTTCAACAGGTTATTGAGTCTCATTTATTAAAGCTACTTCAAAGTATCAAGGAATAACAGCTGGTTCTTTCGTGGCTGTCAGTTGTCGTCTTCGAGGTTTTGACTCCATTTTAGCCCCGTAATCACTGAAAAGAGGTGTTTGTTTTGTAAGTTTACCTCAGTTCAGCTATTTACTGGTTTTACTTAAGCCAGGCATGTCCAACCTGTGGCCTGCCCCCTGCCCCAGACCATCATGTCAGTGGCTCTGTCAAACAGTATTACTGTGCTCTATGTATCGGTTGTAATCTCCCAGAAAATAAATAGGATACATTACTTTTGAAACAGTCTACGTATTTGCATCCCAAAATAATTCTTATTCACCCAGTTTGACCCAGACAAACCAACAGGTTGGACACGCATGACTTAAGCTTTTAAATATGCTTTCTCTTTCATAGAAAAATGTGATGTCATCCTTTTCTTAAATGTATTTATATAACCTTGAAAGAAAAGGTCTGTTCTCAAGCATGAAAAACTGAATAAAATCTGTTTTCACCCTGTAAGTGTTCACGTAGTGCACTGGACAGCACAGTGCCAAGAGTTCTCCTTGTTCCTGTCATTGATCCATATTCACAGGAAGATGATTGTTTAGATATTGAGGTATGTCACCATAGAAAAAAGACTTTTTTACTTTTAGTAGTATCCAAATGTGTGCCATGTGTGATTGTTCTCAAGATCTTCAGCTATTATTATTGTGTCAACTATTGTCTTTGTATGATTTTTTTAAGAAGTTAATAAATTTAATGACCTTGGTGGTAGTTTTGATTCCTGGGGGATTTATTTTCATATCCTGCCTTCTTGTATTCATGGAACAGCTGGACCGAAGTGTTCTTCATATTAACTTCCCTGGTATAAGGAAGTCCAAGTGCAGAATATTTAGCTCCTAAGTATCCTCCCTGCACTGGCTGAGCAGAAGATATCAACAGTGTGGGTAAAGAAGCCAGAACCTACTGCAGTCCAGCTGCCTTCAGCTGATGTGTGGCACTTTCCTTATCCTGATGTAGCTGCTTGAGCTAGAACAAACAGCATTATGGATTTGAACAGTTGAAAAAGTAGGTAATGTTAAATGATTTCCTGAGACCCCACACTTAGAACTACGCTAGAGGGATGAATGCCTTCTATTTTTACACATATAATGAAAAAAAATTTTTAAACAGACTTCAGAAGTTTGTTTTCCAAGCACTTAGTAATTGTGTCCACTAGAGGTCTGTCACCTGTACGCACGAATGCACCTCTGAGCCCCTCCTTTCTCTCTCAGTCAATTGGTAATAAATCAGATTTAAAATTTGACTTCCAGAAGCAGCTCAAAAAAACATCAGTGGATCCAGGTAATTTACTAACTGTATTTCTGGCATTGTTTAATTTTTCTATTTGAAACTCATTCCATACACAAATGGAAACCATACTATTTACAGCACTGTGATCCCAAGCAAAGTACTGGAAGGCAGAGGATCATCAAGCTAGGTTCTTTGGGACTAAACTCCCCCAAAAAAATATTCCAAGTGCTGGCTTTGTTATTTCAACACATTCCCTAGGGGCCAGTATTGGAGCCAATCCTGATCAGTATCTTGACAATTTGGATGAGGGAATGGAGTGCATCCCCACTATGTCACTTCCACTAAGCTGAGCGGAAGCGTCAATCTGCCTGAGAGTAGGAAGGCCCTACAAAGGGATCTGCAATGATGGGCTGAAGCCAACAGAATGAAGTTAAGACCAAGTGTTGCACAAACTCTTCCCGTGGAAGATTTTTTTCTGGGGGGGAGAGGGGGGGAGGGAGCACACAAGTCCACAAGTCTTACAGAGAGTGGGTGAAGAAACAGAGGAGAAGATTCAGAGGAGACATTATTGCTCTCTACAGTGACCCAGTTGTGGTTGTGGCGAGGTGGAGGTCGGTCTCTTCTCCCAGGTTACATTGGTAGAACAGTGACAGACTTAACAGCCTTAAATTGCATCTGTGGAGATTCGGGTTGGACATTAGGGAAAATTCTCTGAAGGAGAAACAAGGTACTGGAACAGGCTGCCCAGAGAGGTGGTGGAGTCAGCATCCATGGAGGTGTGTAAGGAAAGGGTAGCTTTGTACTCAGGGACATGGCTTGGCATCTGTGGCAGGTGGATGGTTGGACAGGAGGGTCTTAGAGGCCTTTTCCAACCTTGATGATTTTATGATGACTGAATATACAGTAGGAGAAAACGTAGGGAAAACAACGTGGATTAATTCGTGGCCTAGCTTCTCTTCGTAGTGAGACTTGTATGGTGTACACAAGATGTATATGAGGTCAGAATTAACCTCTGAATTGTGTTTTTTTTTGTGAGAGCCAATCAGGAGGTCCATTTATTTCCTAAAGCTGAAATTTAAAATGTAAAGAAACATTTAAAGAAAATTTTGAAGCAAGAAAATGCAACTGGTGGTGGAAGTGTTGGTGAAACCTCTGCTACACGTGTACTCTTCCCTTTTCTATGTAGGGTTGGTAGCAGTTCTATCGTATTATGCTTCAAAGTATGATTTAACCAAATTAAATCTGATGTGGTTTGAAAGCAAAGAGAAAGATTGTTTCGTAATTGAAATCTAGAAGGAAAAAAAAATTAATAGGTTGCTCTGAAAGCAACATGTCCACAGAACTACAACAAAGAGAACAGTAACACTATCACGCAGTAAATTCTCAGCTATAAAACACTACTTTTTAACTAGTCACCACCATGAGCTATGCATTTTCATCAGTGACAAACAAGAGGCTCCATACTGTGCTCACAAAAATGTGCACCAGTGGAGGCGACCACTGTCACTGTCATCACACACCACCCACATCTCACTGTGCTCCCATCCACTGTTTGATCTCCAGAAACATTCACTAAGTGTCAATGAATGTCAGTGGGTGCCAGTTTTTCTGCATGGGAGAATTCAATTCTGCACCTTTGCTTCGGACACCAACATAATAAAATAGGAGGCATTACTTTTGGAGCAGCCTTGCCATACCAGTAATTCTAAAATAATATGAAGTGGCAGTTACTGCAAAGTTGCGTGTTGGAAACACTGAGATTTAATGGTCTGTGTAAAAATAAACGTTGAACTTCCATATTTGTTGAGATGATAAAATGCAAACTATTTCTTATAGTATCATAACTCAGCCTATTTCTAAGACATCCTTTGTAAAATCGTGGTATTTAGTACTTAAGTATCCGTAAGGAATAAAACTTCCTTCTTCATCATTTGTGTTAAGCGAAAGTAGTTGTTCTAGATGATGAACATTCAATACCTGCTTGGTATTTTGCCTTAACCTTCAGTCCACATTGAGTTTATATGAAATAGATTGACTAATAGTTATCTATTACTTGAAAATGTATCCTAGAAATTTTTTTTTTCCACATAAGATGGAAAAATAGAGGAATGTGGATTAAGATAGTAAAATATAAATTTTTCTTGCCTACTTTTTTTTTCCTGTAGAATTTCAAGCATTGATATCAGACAATCTCTAAGCATCCCACAGAAAATGGTTGCAAGGGTGAAAGTGGTTGTCCCTTCAAAAGATCTTTTCCTGCATTAAGAGCCCTTTCCATAACATAACATTGTTCTGCTAAAGAAGTGAACATCGAAGTGAACTTTCCTGTGGCCTTTGTGAGGATCTTATGGGGAACAACTGACAGTATTTCATAACCAGATTTTGAAGTATCAGCCTGCTGGTTCTCAGTGAGCAGTTGCCACAGCTGCTGGTACAGAGAGAGGACATGAGGAGTTACCTTGGAACCACCGGAAGCCTTGGGTCTGGGTGCTGCACAGCATTTCCTCGCTGCAGCATGCCACAATACCTGAGGAACTAGGAACTTCTGAGATCAAAATTTGTTTCTCTGCAAGCCTCTTGCTCAAACTCATTCCCCAAGGTAATTTCTTATGGGAGTATTAAAATATTTACATTTGAAAGTGAATGATAGCGAGCTGCATTTCAAATTACTGACAAACAAGTTGTCTTTTCTGATTAAGGAAATTATTTTTTGCAACATTCAGCGTGCAGTATGTGACCACTGAGCTAAAGAACTGTGCCTCCCAAAGCAGATTCCCTAACACAGTTTGATGTAGAAATAATAGCCAAATACTTCAGAGCTGCATAAAGTCCTTGTCTCATTCACTCACATGATGTTGCAGGTTACTGTGGTCTGCTTCACAGAGAGTGTATGCAACAGATGAACTTCAGCCTGCAATGCAGTGGGCAGGATGCTTATCACAATCAACATTCATTTACAGCTGCTTCTGTCTGAAGTAGATTGGAAACCATACAGTGAAGGCAGACCACCTTTATCTGTCTGGCAGAGAAGTAAGTGAGAGCCAAAGAAGAAAGCATTTCAGTTAGAGCTACAAATGGGAATTTCTCCCGCCAAGGAGAAAACAGAACTTTACACATTAGAGCTCAGGGAAACTGCTTTCTCACAAACAATAGTCAAGACCGATACTGAAGAACAACCAACAAAGACAGACAGCAAAGAACATAAGCAAATTGTTCATGTTTGATTAAAAGAAGCCAAGATTATATCTCTAAGGTGATTTATAAAGGAACACAAATTTAGATCTACACATCTCCATCCACGCAGCTGAGTACTACGCCAGCATTAATATTTGCATGTGAATTTGATGAGCGCTTTGTAATGCTCCTCCTTGCCTGCCCTGTTTTTCTCCAAGACCAGTCGCCAGTTCCACACTGTTGCTCTTTGTTCACCTTGCTCCCTGTATTCCCCACTCAAAGTTCTGAGACGATCATTGCAGAAAGCTGCAACCTTCTGCCAGACCTTCCCAGAGCGAGGCCTCATCACTCTTCTTCCTCCCATAGGTTCTCCCTTGGTTTAAAATGTCATCAGCATCTCACGCTGTCCTCACGTCCCTAGAGAGCTGGTGGTCACAGTGAGGAGCCAAGGGCAGGACAGGATGGACCTTGTCACAGTGATCACCTGCTCTGGGCCCAGGGACAAACACTGCCTGTGATAGAGGGTCTCTGTGTCACCTTCCTTCAGGTAGAACACAGCAAGTGGTACCAAGAGGATGCTCCTGCAGAAGGACACACTCCTGCTACCTGGCACTAAATGCAGAGTCATTACTTCAAACTCTTCAGCAAAACAGCATTCTGTCCAGGGAAGGTTGTTGCTCCCAGATAAGCAGGACATCTGAAGTTTCAAAGCACAGTTTCAACATTCCACAAGCCATGAGGAGGCACACTGTCTCCTGCTAGGGCTAGGCACCATAACAGTGCTGACATGCTAATTAGAACTTATTCAGCAGACATACATATTTGGGAAGGAGAAATTCTATTTGTAATCACTGTAATGGAATTAAGTTTGTGGTGCATTTTGCAAGAGGAAGCTGAGCATGAGAGGCATTCCAGCATAGATTTTCCTGGGCACTGTGGACCATATTTTTTTCCTTAAGAACAATGGTATAAATCACTGCAGTGCAGACAGGGCTGTCATTAGGCAGATCATCATTAGCATTGTTACAGCCATTCTGTTCACATGCACCTCCCACTGTGCATCACACATGCTTTCAGGAAGTACACAGTTCTGTCTGGCAATGAAAGTACAACAGGGTGAAGGAGATACCTGGTCACCAGGAGCTCTGAAGATCAGAGAAGGTGTGCGGGGTTAGATCTAGGAACAATGTCTGAATAGATTTTTCTGATGAGGCTGATCTGTCACCAGATAAAGCCAGCAGTTCTTAAAGCATGCAGCACAGCAGAGCACATCTCTGTGTTTTCAGCAGATGCAGTCTGATGGAGCC